TCAGTGCCAAACTGGGCTAAAATGTGGTTAGATAATCAGGAATGATAAGTTTTGTTATCTTTTTTTAAAAATCAGTAAAATTTATGATGGATTATTGGCTAGTGGTTAAGGGTTGAATAACAGACATTTAATTTATTTTAGAGGTGCTAGAAGTGTTAATTGGAACAGAAGGCCATCTGGTTTTCCAAGTTAGGGGCCGCTTGCATATATAGCATCATCAATAGACAATTTTAATAGCCATTTAATTTCAATACTCTTGTCTAATTGGATAATATGCCTAGCTACCTTAGTGGTTGTGGTATAAAATTTGCGGTATTTGTGTGTACTCGTTTTTTTTCTTTTCTTTAACAAACGGTTTTATCAAAAACACTCCCCTTTCTTTGTCGGTTTTGGTGATTATTATGCTGTGATCCTCCTGTTCTTTTAAAATGTTTTTTTTTTTTTTTTTTTTTTTTTTTTTGCATTGACTTTGGTTTCATGTACATGTTGGCTGTATATTTTATTAGCTAAAGAAGAGTGGTTAGAACATCGGACTTTGGATTCGTGACAGATCCAGGTTCGAAGGTTCGAGTCCCGGCCGGCGCGCTGTTCCCTTGGGCAAGGAACTTGACCTCGGCGGCCCCGAAGGAAGGCAACGGGAAACCACCTTCGTACACTCCCTTGTACAACCATGAAATTAAAAAACATGGTCGCCAACGTCAGGCTCTGATACGGCACACACACACAAAAAAAGAAGAGACCTTGTTTATGACTGAAATTAAGCAGTTTTGATAAACGTTGCATTTGCTAATCACTTGATAAACCTTTTCTACTCGAAGAAAAAAACAACAGCAAAATTCAGGGTCTTTATTCGAGGCCAAATCTAATCTAATTCAATCTAAGCCAAGCAATACAGTTTTTTTGATTCAGGGTAAGAGTAAATTTAAATTACTAACAGTTTAAAAATATTTATCACTGTTGTGTTTGACATCAGTACCTACATTAACTCATTTTCTGTTGTGGATGTGTTGGACCTTGGTGAGTCTATTATTGACATTATGGCTGATGATTCCAGTGAAGGACTTGTAGTCAAAAAAAGAAAGAAAGAAAAAACCCGGACGAAAGTTAAGAAACCTTTCAGTCTCGTTGGCTTTCAAGTTAGGAAATGTTATCTTTTGGTCTTTGTGTATGTTTATATATATATATATATATATATATATATATATATATATATATATATATACATATATACATACATATATATATGTATACACACACACACACACACACATGTGTGCGTGTGTGTGTGTGTACATATATATATATATATATATATATATATATATATATATATATATATATATATACATATATATATATGTATATATATGTATATATATATATATATATATATATATATATATATATATATATATATATACATATATATATATATATATATATATATATATATATATATATATATATATATAAATGTAATGATATAAATATACACACATATGTATGTATAGGTATGTGTGTGTATAGATACATAGATAAATATACGTATATATATATATATATATATATATATATATATATATATATATATATATATATATGTATCTATCTATCTGTCCATATATATACATATATACATATACATATATATGTATTGTATATGTATGTATTTGTATATATATATATATATATATATATATATATATATATATATATATATGTATATATATTCATATATGCATCTACATATATAAATATGAATATATATACCTATGCATATAGGGTCGATATATATATATATATATATATATATATATATATATATATATATATATATATATGTATACACACACGTACACACACACATACACGCACGCACATACATAATCAGCCTTTGAGTGTAATGTTTGTGCGTGCGTGTGTTCACACGTGTTTGGAAAAGGAAAACCCGGGAGGATGTGGGATGTAACCAAGATTACAAGATATTGATATACCGTTGAGATGCAAATACATATCCCTAAAAATAGGAGGAGCTTAAAGTGGCAAAGGGCGTGGCTGAGGACTGAGGTCGAGGAGATGGGATGTGGGCGGGGTTTAGAGAGCTGGAGCAGGATACATAAAGGCGCGGCGGAGGTTCCTTTCCGTCACTTGAGCTTCAGGAACCGTCCTTTCGACCTTAGCCAGCGGTGTGATAGGTGGGTCGTCGACGCGTGGCTTTGTCTTGTATTAAACCTTGCAAGATGATTGTTTTTGTTTTGTTTCGTTTCAGAAGCTCATGTAATTGCACTAGGGATTCGATTATTTTTTCGTCCTTAACATAGAAGCGTGTTTTCAACAACAAGAAAATGATTGTTTTTTTATTTTTTGTTTTTTCTCTTCTTTTATTTTTTGTTTTTTCTCTTCTTTTCATTTTCATTTTCATCACTTCAGTTCTCATCTAATATTGTTTATTTTTCGATTTATCTATTTATTATTTGATTTTAACAGATTCTGCTACAACATGGCAAGGTCCTTCAGGCAGCAGACACTGACGGTGATGGCGATCGCCCTATGCCTCAGCCTGGCTACTGCACAGACCTTCGAATACAGTAGAGGTAGACCCTAATAATACTGCATACATTATCTGGCGTTTGTGCGTGGTTGCGTGTGCTTTCTAGACTCCAGTGGTATATTGGTAGGCGGTATGCGTGTGCTGTCTAGACCCCAATAATATATACAGGAAGGCATATACGCGTTTATGCTTGCATGCGCGGGCTTTTGAGATTTCAGTATATTATATTCGCAGGCACACATGCGTTTGTGCTTGAATACATGTGCTTCCAGACTCCAATGATATACTGGCAGGCATCAAGCGTGAGTTATCTAGATTCCAGTAACATATACAGGAAGACATACACGCGTTTGTGCATGCATGCATGTGCTTTCGTCCGTCTAAAATCAAAAGCGTTTGGCGGATATTGGGCGTTCTTCTTTTGTTCTGTTTTCAAGGGCCTCGTTCTCGCCTTTTCTCTCCGAGTTTCGTTTTTTTTATTCATTGTTGCTTCTCACTTCGTAGTATCGGATCTTTTTTCTTCCTCCGTTGGCCTTCTTTCTCTCATCTGTAAATGTGTTTCTTTCAGCTTCGCTGTCACGCGCGCGCGCACACTCACACACACACAAACACACACACACATACACACACATATATGCTATCCTTCACGGCTTCCTTGTCCCCGCAGGATGGACGAACGGCCGAAAGCGCTCAGAAGGAAGCCTCAGTGTCGTGAGGGGTCCTGCAGGCTCTCCTCTCCTCGGTCTCCTTTCGTCTCACGCCTTCCAGATTCCCGGCAAGGTATGGTGGGCGCAATTTCCGGGTCCTGCGTGTCATAGAGATGTCGTGTAGGTGTGTAGTTATGTCGCTGTGTAATGAGGATGGATGGGAAGTGTGAAGGAAAAGCCAAGGGGAAGACTGTCTACTTTTCAAATGGATTATGTCGTACAGTAAATTCTCTTTGCCAATTTTATCTATTTTTTTCCATTTGTTGTTCTTTTATTTTTGTTTTTTTCTTGTTCTTGCTCTGTTGCCATCTGTTGCTTTTCCTGTTTTTTTTCTAATTTATTCCTTTTCTTGTCATTTCTTAACATTTATTCTGTGTATTTTCTGTTATTCTAACGAGATGTTTTTTGTTTGTTCTGTTTTTCTTATTTACATTGTCGCTAGAGAGCCACAACAAGGTATATATTGTATTTCCCTTTTCTTCACTTCTTTGTTTACTTGATCTCACTAAGGGATTCAGATTCAAAGTTAAAGTTGATCCCATATCCAAGCGGACGTAGGAGATAAATTCTTAGAGGACCATGCTTACCATGTCGTGGAATGATGCGGTTAAGTAGCCAGTTCTTTTCCGCCTTAATTCTACACAATAACCGTACACTCCAATCCCACCACATATTACAGTATACTTGTGTTAAAACCTATACGTTATTCCTACGGTTTTCAGAACGTGAGGAGCCGATTCAATGCCCTCGAGGACAGTCTCGTCGACGCCTTCGTGGGCAGGGATGCTCCGGGCTTCGCTGAGAATTAACCTCCGGTGATCTTTCGAGCCTTTAATGCTGTGGTGATTTAGTTTATATATACACATTCAGATATATATACAACACATGCATATATATTCATATATGGATACATATATACATAAATACATAGTTACATATATATATATACATAAATACATAAATAAATACATAAATACATAGTTACATATATATATATATACATAGTACACATACATACATACATAAATACACAGTTACAAAATGCATGCACGCGCATATACATGCATACAAAAATACATATATACATATGCTTTTCTTCTGACTTTGATCTTAAGTTCGAAAGGACTGTCAGACTCTCTGTATTAATGAGAGTAGGAGAAAATGTGGAGTATTTTGTTCAAAACAAAATGCAAGCTTCAATTTAACATGAACTAAAAGAAAGAGAGAAAAAGAAAAAGAAAGAAAAAACAGAGATCCTGAAACACTTCCATCGGCCTCAAATACATGTACTTGATTAAACTTTTCTTGTATTATTCATAAACCTTTTTAAGTCTTTTTAATCCATGTTTCTAAAAATGAATGATGCTTATTAATTTCATATCTCTGCTTATTTGTCATCCTTTTTCACTATCAACTAATTTTCCATTTTTTTTCCACACACTTAGCTTTAGTATCCTTAGCGAAAATACTAAAGAAAAATATTTGTTGATAATAACCGTGATGATAATGAGGATAAGGATAGCAATAACATGATAATGATAATAAATAATAATGATAAATATATATAATAGTAGAAATAATAATAGTAATAAAATAATGATGATAATGATAACAATAATGATAATAATAACAATAATGATAAAAATAGTAATAACAGAAATAGTAATAATGATGATGATAATAATGGTAATGATAATAGATATAATGATGATAACAATAATGATAATAATATTTATAATAATAACAATTTTAATAATGATAGTCACCATGATGTAACGATGATGATGATGGCGACAAAGACGATGATCACGATGATGACGATAACGACGACGATGATGATGATGATGATAACAATGTTAATGATAATGATAACAATAATGATAATGAAAATAGTAACAAAAAATACAATTACATGACAACCACAAAAATTATAATGATGATAGTGATGATTATAATGATGATAATGACTAGGATTAGGATAGTAGTAATGGTAATGGTAATGATAATGATGATAACAATAGCAGTCAAAGCAAACAATAACAACAATAATGATAAAAGGAATGATAATCATTATCATAATCAAAATTATAATCATAATAACAATAAAACTGGTGACAGAAATAATAATAATAATGATAATCATAATGATAATTATTGTAATAATGATAAAGATGACAAAAATAAAAATAGAAATAAAAATAATAATGATGGTAATATTGACAATAATGATGATAATGATAATGATAATGGTAATGATAATGATGGTGATAATGATGATGATGATTATGATGATAATAATGATAATGGTAATGAAAATCATGATAATGATAATGATAACAATAATAAGAAATATGAATAACAACATTTATAATAATATTCATAATAAAAATGAGCTTCATATTGATTTTCAGTTTCATGTTTACGTAAATAAACAAACAAAAAAATGATACTAAAAATGGCATTACGCATAGTGATAGCAGTAATAACAGTGATAATGAATATGATAATAAAAATGGTGATTATAATTGCAACTTCTCGCGGCTGGGCGGGGCGCGAACCGCAGACCCCACGGATAAGGATAAGTCTGATATGCGAAGCTGAGCCTCGCCCGGCCTCTATCGACTAATGTCGACTCGCTAACAGTCAGCAGGTGATGACTCGGCTTTTGACCCAGCCACAGTAATAACCTCCAGGCGACAATTGCAACTTCTCGCGCCTGGGTGGGGCGTATACCGCCGACCCTCGGATGAGAGGCCGACACGTTACCACTGTACTAACCTAGAAGACGCTCGGACGAAAGGACAATTTACAACTGTATGGACTGAGAACAGGTATTTTAAAAAACACAATTATACAAATATACAAACACTTGTCTGTTAAACATGGAAAAATATATATATCTTAAAAAGTACACATATTAATAGAATTTATTATATAACAAATGAATAAAAGTAAACCAGAAATTCATGACTAGTCGATTTTCAAAGGAGACCATGATATAATTACATTTTAGGGGAGACTAAGATATTACTACAAGTCCTCCTCTCTTGATATCGTCTTCGACTAACGTTTAATTTCCGTTCGTGTTTTTTTTTCTATTTCGAAGCCTTATATGACTTTCCACCTGAACACAAAGCTTCAGAATTAGTGTAGCAATAGTGTTATTCAGAACAGTAAAATACAAAGGATGTATAAGGCAATAATAGCTTAAATAGCATGAAACTACGAGAGAACTATGATGCACTTTGTTTTCATTCGTTCACAGCATTTTTATTCGAAACGATAAGTCAAAACGAAGATTCAATCATTATTAAAACGAATAGACGAGACAACAGTCAGAGAACTGAAACGATCACATGTACAAAAAAAAAATATTCTTTTTAAAAACAAAATGGGGAAAAAATACTACTAGTACTTTGAGAAGATTGATAAAAGACGAAACAGAAAAGCATCTAAGCATGTAGAACACACAGTACGAACCAATGACACACCCATACATATGGACAGTGTTTACTTTATTCAAGATTTTCCTTCGGCAGTTCCTAAAAGTGAATTGTTTTTATTTATTTATTTATTTATTTACTTTTTGTATGCAGGTGATACAATATATTACAATTAATTATCCAAGCATATATTACAGAAATAACACCGAATAGACACAATCATGGATTTTGTGTGTATGTGTATATATGTATATATATATGTATATATATATATATATATATATATATATATATATATATATATATATATATACACATATTAATAGAATTTATTATATAACAAATGAATAAAAGTAAACCAGAAATTCATGACTAGTCGATTTTCAAAGGAGACCATGATATAATTACATTTCAGGGGAGACTAAGATATTACTACAAGTCCTCCTCTCTTGATATCGTCTTCGACTAACGTTTAATTTCCGTTCGTGTTTTTTTTTCTATTTCGAAGCCTTATATGACTTTCCACCTGAACACAAAGCTTCAGAATTAGTGTGGCAATAGTGTTATTCAGAACAGTAAAATACAAAGGATGTATAAGTCAATAATAGCTTAAATAGCATGAAACTACGAGAGAACTATGATGCACTTTGTTTTCATTCGTTCACAGCATTTTTATTCGAAACGATAAGTCAAAACGAAGATTCAATCATTATTAAAACGAATAGACGAGACAACAATCAGAGAACTGAAACGATCACATGTACAAAAAAAATATTCTTTTTAAAAACAAAATGGGGAA